ACACACACACACACACACACACACACACACACACACACACACACACATCTATTACTGATTGTTCATTTGCACACTGAGAGAACTGTCTTATTACAAAGACCATAACCCGGAAAACCTGGTAGATACGGAAGATGTGGTGTTTTTATGACTTGTACCTGGGTCTAAAATTATTTTAAATTGTGATAGTAGAAAAATATTGGAAAGTCAGCAGCTAGTAGCTGGCTAGCATATTCAAATGTCTTCTGTCTTCAGAAGAGAAATGGCTTTAGGATAAACAATATGTACCTACAGACTACAGGTACATCTTCCTAAATGATGAAGCTAAAGCAGGGGACTGGCTGATGAATCTTTTCTGGCCTAGGCATGCAGTTCAGCAGTAGAATGCTTGCAGGAGGTGATTCCAAAACACCACAAAAAGGGGGAGAGGGTGGCACATCCCAGCACTCAGAAGGCAGAGGCAGGCAGATCTCTGAGTTCAAGGCCCACCTGGTCTATAGATCAAGGTCCAGGACAGCCAGAAGTAAACAAAGAAACCCTGTCTCAAAACACCAACCAACCAAACTAACTAAAAAAAGTGGTGGTGGGGGGGATGCTTTTATAATCAGAAGACACACACATTTGTGTGATTCAAATAACTTAAGTACCCTGACTGAGGAATTTGTCTTTCTGAACAAGGAAGAATTGCTCAAAGGGCTTTATCAAGCTCATCTGTAGGCAGACAGTTCTGCTCACTTTCTACAGAAAGTGAAGTAAGGTAACTTGTGAGTCACCTTCAGAAGCTGTCTTCAGAGGGGTGAAATTTAAATGGAAGTGTCCAGAGGCCCCAAGTGGTCCTTTGATATGGCGTCCTGTGCTCATTGTTGAGTGTCATCCCTCACAGGAAAACGGTGGGTGTAGAGGAATTTTAATCCAGCAACACGGCTACTCTGGCAAGGGATCACATCCAGAGACCTAGGTCTGTGTGATCTGGCTGGAATACAGACTTGCCCTTAGTATACACCTTCAATCTCTCTGGCTGAAATACACACCTTTAATACTTCTGGCTGGAATACGGAAACACCTTTAGTACACACCTTTAATCCCAAACAATATGTCCAATTGAGGGGCAGACAAAGTGACCAGTAAGAGTAAGATTTGACAGAATGAATCAGAGATAGGATATGCTCAACTCTCATTAGAGAGAGAGGGACTACTTAAGAGCAGCATGGGGGAGGAGAGGGGAAGAGAAGGAACGAGGGACAGACAGCACAGAGAGTGGAGTACAGTACAAGAATACAGTGGAATTCATGGAGACAGTACAGTAGAGTTTGGGACTACAGCACAGTTTGGTGAAGTTGTGTTTGTGCAGTTCAGAGGCAGTTTTTCCAAGTAGAGCAATTCAGTCAGAAGCTAAGAAAAGCCAATGTACATCAGTCAGCTTGGAGAGGAGCTTGAACCTCTGAGTTCAATAGCTGAGTTGAACCAGCCAGCCAGAGTTCAAAAAGAGCTAGAAAAGGTGAGCTTATTCATCAGTAAGTCTCAGAGGCTGAAAGCATTCTAAGCCTAGGTCAGCAGATGGAGGCTGGAAGCTGAGCTCTCAAGGTTTGGGCTTGCAGTAGATATTAGATTGTATGGAGGGTAGAAGATTCCAGGCCTTGGGTGAGGGATGTTTAGACAGAAACTCCCTGGGCTCAGCCCAAGCCATGTATTAGAAACGCTTGGGTTCAGCTCTTATCTCCTCCCATCTTCTGAGGAAATAAAAATGACATTTACAGGTGAGAACAGGAGAACCTTAAGGCACGTTCATGAACAGGAGAGGGCATTGTTTACACACATCCAACAAGGATGCTGAAACTCACTTAGCAGGAACAGAAATGCCTGCCACAGGAGCCCAGCTCCCAGGGCACAGGAATATAGGGAAAGTGGCGTTCCTTTTGGACCAGAATGTTTTGAAATTCGCTGCCAACGGCTACACGTGTAAAAATGTTTCAACCGTGATAACTTCCCAATCCACCCACCATATACCTAACAGTCTCTGACCAGGCTCCTGCCATGGGGCAGTAGACAAGGGCTCAACAGTAGGTATTAAGGAAAATAGTTATGCCTTCCCTTTACTGTGGGTATCTCAGGGGAGCAAACAGGTGTGATTCGATCCAGCCTTTATGTTCATTCCTAGTGAATTCTGTCTGGGTTGTCAGGAGCACCTTTTCCAGCCTGTGTCTTTGCAAGACAGGCTCCTCCTGATGCCTTTTCCTCTAGCTACCACTCAGGCCATTGTCAGCCCAACGGCTTCTGACTAACTTTTCATTTTGTACAGTGACTTCTCTCCAACATTTGTTATAGAGAGAGGGAGGAAAGAGGGAAGGAAAGGGAGAGGAACAGAGGAGAAGTTAAGGGAGGGGAGGGGAGGAGAGAAATTACAAAAATTTGTTTTTCCTCGGGATGAGACGTTTGCTAATCAACCCTAAGTGAGATAAACAACATCTTAATGGGAATCAGTTGACATGAGACTTATAATTTAAAAAAAAAAAAAAATATATATATATATATATTTTAGATTTTATGTGTCTATGCTTGCTTGTGTATATCTATCACCTGTGTGCCTTTTGTGTGTCCTTACTGTCTTTTGCCCTAGGCTGATTTTGACCAGGCTGCCCAAGACGTGAGGAAGCTGAAAAGCAGACCGGAAGATGAAGAGCTCAAAGAACTGTACGGCCTGTACAAACAGTCCATCGTGGGAGACATCAACATAGGTCGTAGCCACACACTGTCTTACACCCGTAGACGTGCTTGTGTGCAGAGTGGAAGGAAAAGCTGAAACTCTCTCCTTCTTTTGGCAGCGTGTCCAGCAATGTTAGATTTGAAGGGCAAGGCCAAGTGGGAAGCATGGAACCTCCAAAAAGGTTTTTAACTCTCAAATAAGGTTAAAACAAACCTTCATCACTGCCCAGTGCACCAATCGGTGAGATAATGTATTTGTGTCTCTCTAGGGCTGTCGAAGGAAGATGCCATGAGTGCTTATATTTCGAAGGCAAGAGAGCTGATTGAGAAATACGGAATTTAGAATTTGGCAGAGGAGACAGATCTCCTTCGGAAGCTTTCCTATGAGTTAGTAACTCTAAATCACGAGTATTTTTTCTATTAGCATGAATTAGAATAGTTGGGTCAATATATGTAAACATAGTTTGTGGTTTTGCTTGCTTCAGCAAGGTGACTTTAAAAAGATCCTTTTCAAAAAATTCGTTTGTAGTATGCAACTTTAATAAATACCTGTTTCTTTTTCTTTTTTTGCATTTGTGTTTCTGTGTGTGCATGTTCCCATGGACGGGTTGCACACGGACATGCTTGCTTGTGGCAGCCAGAGAACAGCCTGGGGTGTTTTTCTCGGGTGTGCTGTTTACTTCCTGTGAGGAGGGGCTGTCGTAGGCTTGGAGTTCCCCAAGGGTGCTGAGCTGACGGGCTCCAGATGCCCTCTTCTCCCTTCCTGTCCAGCACCAGGATTACAGATGTGGTCTGCTATTCCGGACATTTTGTGTGGGGTCTGGAGCTTAAACTCAGGCCTTCATGCACACAGGATAAGCCGTCTCCCCAGCCTCAATATTTGCTTTCTGAGCTTAATCTGTTTCTCTACAGGAGCTAGTGCTACTGAGGCAAGCAAAGAAGTCTGTTCGGAATAAATAGCAGCCAAACTATTCCTGGTTCTTCAGAAGTGGAGCCAGGAGGGTCACCAGTTTAAGAACAACCTGGGCTGAAACTCTCTCTCAAAGCCAAACCAAACCAAACCAAACCAGAAAACCCTAAAACTGAAGGAGAGGATAGGTTAGACAAACAAAAGACCTTTTCCTCACCATGCAGCTCTGGGCTTTTGTGACTGTGAGCACTGTGGGGCAACAGGTAGACTTGGCTTCAGGCCACTCCCTGACTCACCGGGTGATATGGCCTACTCACCTAACCATACTGTGGTTTGGCTGATCTGAGTTCCAGCGGACCACTGCAGGTGAGCAGGATCACAAATGCCAGGGATTGTAGGTGCCCTGAGGCCTTCCTGGGTTTTGACTTAAGGTCTGGGGCCTTGCCAAATGAGCCATTTGAGCTCCAAGGACTGTATTTTGATAAAGAAGCAATTACTCTTTCTTATGAAATAGGTCACATGTATATTTCTAAATATTAGTTTAAACTTTGAGCCACAGTGTGGTGTTGGAAAAAATGATAATTTCCCTCTGTCAGTTGCTCTTGCCATTAATACTGCAACAGGCTGCAGGTGTAACCCCATTTGGAGGTGCTTTGCTGATAAAACCTTGTATAAATGACAGTCAAATTAGATTCTAACAAAAAGAAAAAGGACTGAAGCAGAAGCTTTTCTTCCCTTAACAATATTTTATTTATTCTTTGAAATTTTCAGAAGTGTACACAGTGCATTTTTATCATAACCACCCTTTGCCTGCCTCTCCAACCACAACGTGTACCCCTCCCGACTTCATGTTCTCTTTCACCTTCTCCTCCTCCTCCTTTTTAAATAACCCTCTGAGTCCCCTCAGTGCTGCCTGTGTGTGCCCCAAGGTTGTAGTGTCATTCACTGGAGCATGGGTAACCTACAGGGAGCAACGACCCCCAAAGAAAAATACCCCCTCTTCCTGCTGCAGCTATCAACTACCAAGAGCTCCTTTGTGTCCCTGACTTCAGCACTTGTCTTTTCCCCAGAGGGATAAATGTTCTGTGAAGGGATTTGTTAATATGCACTTCCCCATCTCTGAAAACTAACAGCTGGACCTGGAGGACAGCTTGCGCATCTGAGACCCCACAGAAAGCCTGCCTAAAAGCAGTCGAGGGATGCCAGCTCCAAACACCTGGTTATATAGTTCTTGATAAAGTTCTCGTTGTCAGGTTCCAGCAGATAGAAGTGGTCTCCGGGCAGCATGTGGATGTCAGTCTTCCCACTGGTAATGTCCTTCCAGCCTGAGAAGTATACAAAACCTTATTCAGTAATAAAAGTCATTGTCCAAGGACAACAGAAGTCTTACTTCCAGGTACTACTGTCCCAAAAGCTGACACTCAGTGATTGAGTTACATCCAGTCGCTCTCAGGTTTTGTGTAGCCTGTATTTCTAATCTTCTGCAGACCTATCAGGATTCAGTGGTGTGACCTGAATTCTCATTTTACAAGAGACCTTTTACATTATCTCTTTGTTTACACCCAGTAAAACATAGGCCGATTTTTTAAAAATCTGTTTCAGTGACCACTAGCTGACATTTGCTGAGAACTGTCCAACACATATTTTAATAAAATATGTGTTCATTTTCAACACATATTTCAATACCCCAAATTATAAAAGCAATTTCACCTTCTAGATCCTTTATTATGTCTTCAGATCCAACAAAGCACGTTATGTCCCGAGAAAGAGGAGCTTTCGAGGGTGTGTCAAAGCTGTAAACAGGAAGGAGCTTGTTTGTCATTTTCATCCTCAACATTCCAGAGTCTTTTCTTCCTGACTTCACCGAAATGAGAGTGTACAGCCTTACTTCTTACTCTTTCTTCCACTACAAGACTAGCATGCACAGGGACGGCCTCTCCTCATTAGAACCAAGCTGAGTTTCACATGCTCTGCTGTTTCCCAACCATGAGATAAATACTAGAGTTGAGTGGAACTTTTAGAAATAGAGGAATAAAGAATTCACTGGGCAGCCTTGTCAGTACATGTGACACAGCTGGAGAAAGAATTAGTGAACTTGAAAATGGTCATTAGAATCTAAGTGGGAAAAATCTTACAAAGAAGACACAGACTGTCTAAGAGATGTGGGACACGTCTGTCAACAATCAAATAGCCAACAGGCTAATATGTGTGGAATCAGGTAGCAGAGGGAGAGCTGCAACAAGCTGTGAGGAATCCTCAGGCACTTCAGGAACATGGGACACATGCATACACGAGGGCAAGACACTCGTGAACACTCATGATTATTTTCTTTGTTGTGCTTTAGAATCCTATAAAAAATTTACCCTCTAAAACAATTTCACGAAATTTTTCCTTTATATTTTCTTCCAGAAGTTTTATGGCATCAGATCTACCATTTGTATGGTTGCCTTTAATCCATTTTAAATTGATTTTTGTGCACATATGAACACACACATCTATATTAATGTATGTGTGTGAAGTAAAATTTCAATTTCCTTCTTTTACTGTGCATATCCAGTTTCCCAAAACTATTTATTAATTAAATAGGCTGTGTCCTGTCCAACAAGATGGTTCTGTGGCAAAGATGCTTGCCACTAAGCCCATTACCCAAGCTCAATTCCTAGGATTCACATGGTGGAAGGAAAGAGCCAACTCCCAAAAGTTGTTGTTTTGACCTCCACATGTGCATTTTAGCATGCACACATATTCACCCAAAGCCCAAATAAATAAAAACAAATAAATAAAATGTATTAGAGAGAATGACCTTTTCCCATAGTATATTCTTGACATATGTATTTTGCTATATAGCATAAATATGTGAATTTATTTATGGGCTCTCTAATTCTATACATTAGATGGTATGTCTCTTATGCCAACATTGTGCTGTTTTAATTCCTAAGGCTTATTTTTAATTAATAATATTTTAAAAGAATTTTTAGGTCATAAGGGAAAGCAGATGCCACAGTGCTGTCTCAGGAGTCCCTGCTCAGGACCCTGCCCTGTCTCAGGCAGCCCCTTCACATCCCAATAAACGTACGTTACTGCTTGAACGGACAGATAAAAATGGCTAATGAAGACAGCTGCACACAGCTGATCCTTTTGTGATGAGAACACTTTGAAACATTGCTCTTAGCAACCCTCAAGACTACAATACATCATTCCAGACTGTAGCCACCATTACCATTGAGCTCTGTTTGTCCTGCTTTCTTCCAGCAGTCATCCTTACATTAAGGCCTTTCATCTGTCTTTCATCGATTTCTTTCTTTCCTTTTTTTTTTTTTTTTTTTTTGACAATGTAAAAAGAACCTAGCTTCATTTACCCACATATGGATATCCAGTTGGACAAAACTCAGATTGTTAGGGGTGATTATATATTCAAATGTTAATTGCTTACCCTCACCCCCACCTGAGCAAATTCTTACATATCCAAAATGACATGATATAAACCGTGTCTCCCAAATTATCCCTGATTGGCTAATGAAGTTGTCTACAGCCTGGACTGGGCAGAAAAGAGGTAGAGCCAAGGTTCACAGGCTTGGAGGTGTGTTGGTATAATGTTCTTGTGGAATGTATACAATTTACCCTTGTTCATTCAAATGCTGATTTCTCTACCCCACTACCTAGTTTCAATCCTGACATTGCATTGTGATGATTATTCTAACATCACCTGTCTCAAGTCTCTGTAAACATGCCACCATTTGTTCTCTGTAATTTCAATAAAACAACCAGCCAATGCTGAGCAAGGGAGAGAATAGGGTGGGACACCCTGGTCCAGAGGGCAGGAGAGAGAAGTGAGTGGGAGGAATGGGAGAGCAGAGATTGGCAGGAGAGGATTTGGAACCAGGAGGAGAGATGAATCAGACCTAAGATGTGACTAAAAGCAAGTATAATGTTGGAAATTCTGAATGAAAGGAAGCCATGAGGGCTTGGAGTAACTATTGCCCAGTATTGTACTCCAGGTTATCCTAGTCTCTGTGTGTTGATTTGGGTATACAGCTGGTTTAGGAATAACCACTGATTAGCTAAAGCATAAATCAATAATAAATGTTAATATCCAACAACAGGGGTGGCAGAGAGAACAGGAGGAGGAGAGAGAAGGAGGAGAAAGGAGCAGGTCACCTTAGGTTAGCATGAACTAGAAGCACGTGGCCAGGAGGCTTATCAAAAATCTAACAGGTTTCTGTGACTTTTATTTATACAATAGTGGGTTAAGAAATAACTGCTACCTTAGTAAGCATATGAATCAATATTAAATATTAATAATCCTTCAATACTCAGATACTTGTAGCTGGGAAGACTCGTTTCTGTGCCCTCTTTCTTACTCAAGACAGGGTTTCTTTGTGTAGCCTTGGATGTCCTGGACTCACTTTGTAGACCAGGCTGGCCTCGGACTCACAGAGATCCACCTGCCTGTGCCTCTCTGAGCGCTGGGACTACAGGCGTGCCCTTTTTCATTCCAATTGTCTGCATCTCTGATTTTGTGTTGCTTTTTTTTTTTTTTTCTGTGGCTTTGTAGTATGATTTGAAATCAGGTGTGGTGATATCACCTGTGTTGGGTTTGTTTGCCTGTTGTTTGTTTTTGTTTGTTTGTTTTCCTCAGGATTGCTTTGACAATTTAGTCTTGTGGGCTTCCATCTGAATTTTAAGAATTTTTCTTTATTCCTATGAACACTGTCGTTAGAATGCTAATGGGCACTAAACTGGGTTTTTAGATTGTTACGGTATACTAGACCTTCAGAATGTGTTCTCTCCCTCTCCTCTCACTCCCTCTCTGTCACTCATCCAGTGGGTATTTCTTAAATCTTGATTCTGGCCTGATTCAGAAACACAAAACAGCTTACCCTGGTGAGAAGATCAATCAGATAGAAACAGAGAGAAGTGTCTGGGTATCTGGAGTATCTGGTTGGTGGCAGTGCGGGGGGGCATTGTGAGCTTGTAAAATGCTGAAAATAGGAGATGGAGAGGCAGAGAAAAGGATATGGGGTTTTCTCTCATCCCAAGATGGCTGCCCCACTGTTGTCACTGTGTCAGCTTTCACTGATGAGTAGCACACACTCACACTTACACACATAGACGCAGGCACGCATACACACACACACACACACACACACACACACACACACACACACCAACTGGCCCAATGTTAACTTTGGGCTTTGTGAACAAGACAAAGTGCTTTGAAGGGCCTTACCCCAGGGGCTCCAGGCCTAGCTAGGCATGACAGCGCAGGAGGCTAGGACCTGACTACCCTGGGGAAGACTTGGGGATGCTCTCATAAACTCAGTGATTTAACATGTTAACATTTTAGTCTGATCAAAAAAGCAAGCATGGAGACAGACAGCCTCCACGAGAAGGGAATGAAGAGGTGGGATGGATTTCTGGGATTAGTTCACCAAGCTGAGAACTGAGTCAACTTCTGCTCCCCACTGTTGCCCTCCACACCTAATAGTAGCCATCCATTCTTGCTGATCCTTTGAATGTGATGGCAATAATGTATTCAGTACCTATTTATTATGTGATAGAATACGTATGTCCAATCATAAATATTTTTAAAGAAAACATATGCTGGTCATCTTTCCCAGATCCTATTTCTGTGGCCCAAATCCTGTAAAAAATGTCACTGAGGCCTCAGGGAAAGCACATTGCAACCTTTAGGCTATTATATGCTTATATACACAGCCTCCGTAAACTGCCAGCCCACATTTTTTTTAATAAATATCAACACACATGCACACACACACAGACATACACACAGAGTGCACATGGCATGTATCGCAGTTACTTACATGAAGTTTTTTATAATGCTCATGTCTGCCTTCAGTAAGGGAGTGCATTGCCTCATAAAGTCATGGTCTTCAATGAGATGCTTGGGAGTGCCTCCAAAATTCAGAAGGTAATGTTGGACTTCTTCCTCTGACAATTTGTTAAGTTCAGGAATTTGAGGCCGGGATACTGACTTGAAATATCAACAAACACAAGGCGCTTGAAACACAGTAGCCCCAAAATCTCAAGCCCACCTCCTTAAATCAAGGAGGGAGAAGAAAGTGTTGCAATAGCCTTAGACTCATGGTGCCACCAAAATGGCAATCCCAATTAGAACACTAGGTCAGTCCGGGTCTGTGCAGAGGAAGTAAAGAAGATAAAAGCTGGAGGAAGAAGGAGCCAGGAATCATAGGACTGGCTTTAAAAGCCGCAGCTGTTACGTAAATTTGGCATCATTGTAAGATTGTTTCCCAGTACTTATTGGCTCCTTTTCTAGAAGTTGATAAGTTCCCAAATGAGGCAACATGCTTTGGAGAGAGAGCAGGAAGGGACAGCACTAGCTCAGAGGAGCAGAAACAAGGGGACAATATTCAGGAGGAAGCTGACGTTCCTTTGGGGTGGGGGTATAGAGAGGAATATGTTGAAAGATCACAGAAGTTTTCATTAGTGCTTGGCCTCTCTGCCATAATCCAGGCTAGACCAAAGGAGAACAACGGCCCGATTTTAGTACCCCATTTCCCTCTTCTTTACCCCCCCATCCAAAGAGAACCAGGACACTTACGTGGGGGGCACATGCGCTGGACACAAAGAAGTGCAGCGGTTCCATGTTGTGTTTCTCCTTTAGGCGCAGCGCCGTCAGAAGAGCGATGTAGGACCCCAAACTAAACCAAGGGAAAGACAAACGTGACAGATGCTGTTGGGCCAAACCTGTGGTAACCAGGCGGAACGAACACAGCAGTGACTATGGGATGAGCAAAAAACAATTGGCTGGTAACTGGCTTGTAAAAGCATCAACGTAGCAAGTGGTTCAGGCCGGAGAGACGCTTAGTCAGCAAAGCCCTTGCCTTGCATGTGCGATGAGCCAAGTTACGATCTCCAGAACTAACGTTAAAAGATGAGTTCAGCTGCTCAGGCCTGAAATCTCAACAACGCAAAACGGAGAGACAGTTGGGAGAATCCCTGCAAAATCATGGGCTTGGTGGTTTTGCCTTTGTGGTAAAGTTTCAGGCCATTGAGAGACCCCATCTTAAACAAAACGTGGGAGCAGTGGTTTTTGATTGATAGGTGATGAAGGTTTGTTGTCATTTTAGGGGATTAGTTGGGCCTGGTCAGAGAGGAAAGAAAGTATAGGAGGCGAGATTCAGGATTTCTTTCCCTCTTTTTCTTTCCTCTGTTTTTCTTTCTTTCCTATCTAGTGTTTGGGGACAAGGGGAAAGAAGGGATGGAAAGAAAAAGAGGAGGGGATATAGAAATAACATAGGAATAGCAGGAAAAAGGGTAGATTATTGAATCTACTCTTAAAGATATTTTGTATATTGATACAAAATTAATGTTATATTTTGGTTACAACATACTATGTATCAACTCTTTAAGGTAATTCTTAAAAATGCAATATGAAATTCTAGTCCTTTTAAGATTACTGTCACAAACTGTTTAGAATAATTAAGAAATGAAAACTAACAGTCAATCAAATTTGTGGTTTTGTTAGGTACTAGTATAGTTAAGTGCAGGTGTTTTCTAAGTTAATCAGAGAGTATATAGCTAGAAACAAGCAATTCAGATATACTAGAGATAGATAAAGGGTCTTCAAAAACCTCAGAGATCGATATAATATGGCCTTTAAAGATGTTTTATTAAGACTTTTTTTTACAGTGAGATATTTCAACTTCTGGCAGCCCCCAAATTATTTCAAAGAAGATGACAAGCATCAAAGAACCTCACAGAGTTAGCTTTATTTGTGGCAAGCTAGCTACTGGCCAAGAAAATGTCCTTGCTAAAACTGCAGACAGAATACTGCCCAAACGGACACAGGAAGGTTGTCTGCCAAGCTTTGCAAGGACAAGGTAGGCAAATCCTTCATATGCCTGCTTCACAGAAAAGTCTGTCAGATATTCTGAGCCAGTAGGCTGAAGATGATGCTCCAGTGTTATAGAGAAATCTTGGGTGACTGTCCAGGCAGCCAGCAGTCTCTAACAGTTCTATAACTTTGGAAGCTGCTTGCTGTGCACTTCCTATTTATTCAGATAATTTCCTTCTCAGGTCTCTGATGTGGTTGAAGATTTAACAGTTTTAGCCTTACAATTAAGCTTTAGTTGTTTAGGATTTAAGATGTTTTAAGTTTAAAAAGACGTTTTTTGATCAATAATGCAAGTTTTGATATAAAGTGGTTTAGGTACAAAACTTTGACTCACCAAGATAGGATAGATAGTAGAGTACTTTCTTCAAGGTTGCTAAATACATATGGACTAGACATTATGAATGTAACTTTTACATGATAGTGTATGGTTTATTGATGTTAGAGAAAAAGTCTTTTATTTAGACAAAAGGGGAAAGTGTTGCAGGATATTTGATCCCATTTTGAGCCCTGAGATTGTGAACTGTAAAAACCTGTTTCTTGTTTGGTATGGTTCAGCTCTAACACACACCATTAATCCAAGAGCTTTCTGCTTATTGTAAACAGGTGATGATGGTGTGGCTCATCATAGCACTCACCTTTCAGCCAAGAGCTAAATAAAATCAAGCCTAGGTCAAGAGGAAGAGCAAGAAACCAGCTTATAGAGATGAAACAGAAAGGAAAGAATTGGAGAGAAGAGTATGTTAAGACAGCATTGAGACGAGGGGCTCTTTGGTTTTTTTAATTTTTAGCTTTCTCCTTCTGGGATGTGAGCTGAGTAGGAAGGTCAGCTGGGTGCTTGCTCTGCCTCTCTGAGCTAGCAAGTTTTCATCCCAGCATCTGGCTCCCAAGTCTTCACTGGTAAAATCAAACGAATTGGAGTTTTGTTTTTTAAAATAACACTGTAACAGTCGTGATTTAAGATAATTACCCAACAGTCTGTTTAACCAGGAGATAAAAGTTGTATCTCACAAAACACAAAGCACACTTATGGCTGAAGACAATTTCTAGGGCCTTGAGTGTGATGGGCAAGTGCTTTAGCAGTGAGCACCTATGTTGAGTCCCACGTGCTGTTTACAATGGGATTAAAATACCTGTGGCCAAAAAAGGCAAATGCTTTATCCTGGATGATGGGCAGCAGAGCCGATACAATTTCATCAGCTATCTGGTAGATGTCATTTGGGAAAGGCTCTTGAGCACGGGTTTCTCTTCCAGCAAGCCTTACAGCATGCACTGGAGGTTAAGAAACAAGTCACTCACACAAACAGAAAATGCTGTAAACAGGTTAACAGATTAATGAGATACTATGGTGCTGAAAAAGCCTCGTATTTACACTACACAACCGATTTCAAAGAAGCAAATAATAATGGTCAAACTTGGCACAGTGGCTCTGAGGTAAAGTTTGGTTGTCAGCTTGATTGGATTTGGGGTCTGCTAAGAGACACCATCTGATGAATTTAAGAGAGCATTGCCTTCATGGCTTCTGCCTACATTCCTGCATGAGTTCCTGCACTGATTTTGCTCAACAATAGACTGTGATGAGGAAGTATAAGCCAAACCAAACAAAACACCCATTTTTCCTAAATTGCTTTTGGTCATGGTGTTTTATCATTTGAGACCTGAGGTAAGTACTGCTCGAGTCCCAAGAGAAGAATTTAGAACCTTGAAGGACCAGAGGCAAGCTGAGAAGACATTTCTAAAAAGATACTTTATAAAGGAAAAACGTCAGAAGAAGGAAATGGCTGGAATAAAAATTCCATAGAAACATGAAAGCATCAAAGCATTAGAAGAATATAGAACCTGCGACCTACACCAACAGGGTGCCATTTTCCCTAATGTGCACTTCACTGTATCAACACAAGAGGGCACTCCTGAACCCAGAGCGTGAGCTAACAACGCATCACCCAATCCCCAGCCCTCTTAGGAGGAAAATCAAGAGCAGAGACAAACCCAACACAGATTACAGAAACGGTAGACCTGACATCTCTAGCCAGTGAAAATAGTTACTAAATATCTCACAGAGGAGAAGAAAACAAAGCCCAAAGTGGATTAATTCCAATGTGAAATGAAAAAAAAAAAAAAAAAAAATCACTGTAATTTGGAAATTTAAAATTCTGACTAGAAACAGACAAATAATTACACAAAGACTGCCAGAAAGAAATTGAATAAAAAGACAATAGGTATTTCAAAACTGTTTCAAAACTGAAAAAAAAAAAAAAAAAAAAAAAAACAGGGCAAAGTATTTGTGGACACAGAGAGCTGGAACGAAAGAACTAGAAAAAGAGAACAAGATGACAAAGGGGCTGGAGAGATGGCGCAGCAGTTAAGAGCGCTGGCTTCCAGAGAGCAGGACCCCAGCACCCACACAGTGGCCCACGACCATCTGTAGCTGCAGTCCGAGGGAATCCAACACCCTCTTCAGGCCTCCGTGGGCACCTCACATACATGGTACACAGACAAAACACCCAAACACATAAAATTTTAAAAAAGAAATCTTAAATGAAGAAGGAGAAGATTGGAAAAAAAAAAAAGTAGCAGACACAGAAGTCAGAAAAGCCATATCCTAAGAAATTGTGTAAAAACTTCCCTGAAAAAAGACAGGGATCTTCACAGTGGCAGGAGAGAATTGACTCCTGAATGTTGTCCTCTCACTTCCACACAAGTTTTGCAGTGGGTATGCTCTTCCCCCCAAAGTATCAAAAGAAAAAAAAAAAAAAACAAGCCTCCAATAATTATATCTCATCTAAAATCATGTTTCTAGTGATTGAGAAAACTGAATCATGATGGTTAAAACTGGAACCTAGGGATTAAGAATATAGTTCCATTGGTCAAGGGCTTGATGTGCCATGCCATGCCAGGGAGGCAGAAAACCAGGCTCCAGGGGACTTTCTGTCTGCCAGCCTACTCAGCCTACTCAGTAAGCACAAGGGAAGACAGTTTCTGAGGAACAACCCAGGGGTTGCTGTTTCTACACGCGCATGCATGTACACACAGCACGCGTCAGAATTCCTCTAATCCCAGTACTCGGGAGGCAGAGGCAGGAGGATCTCTGTGAGACTGGGGCTAGCCTGGTCTACAGAGCAAGTTCTAGGAAAACCAGGGCTACCCCTGTCTCAAAAAAACAAAAAACAAAAAAAAAAGAAAGAAAAGAAAAATTTTAAACTTCAGACGAATACACCATTATAACACAGAGTCGATCACAGTGTTACCTGACTTTTGCTGACAGACTGAAGCGGGACCACAGCAGAAGCAAACCTTTCCAGGAGCCCAGGGAAGGCACAGCAGCAGTGACCCACGCTCAGTGTGAGAAGGGCTCCGCTTGCTCTAAACAGTGTGCTGAAACAGGGGACTCCTGTTCCTTTTTTTTATTCTTTAATTAGGAGAGGTTATAGTTTTGAGAAAAGACTTTTAGATGGTGGCATACCAGAATAGCAAGCTCTATGCCTTAAGAGGAGCCTCGGCTGAACTGACTCATAAAGGGTTGGAAAAGATCAATCAAAAGATAAATGGATTTATGTGGTGGATTTGTGTGGTGGCAAATTTTGGTTGTTAACATGAAGCCTCAGCTGAAGAATTATTTTCATCAGACTGGCCTGTGGGCATGTCTATGGAACATTTCTGGTATGTTCTGTTTTGTTTTTCTGGTTTTTTGAGACAGGATTTCTCTGTGTATCCTTGAGTGTCTTGGCTGTCTTAGACTCACTTTGTACGCTAAGACAACCTCAAACTCACAGTGATTCGCTTGCCTCTGCCTCTGGGATTAAAGGTATGCACCACCACGCTCAGCTTTGGAACATTTTCCTGATTACTAATTAATGTAGAATGGTTCAGCCCAGTCTGGAGAGTACCATTCCCAGGTAGATGAGCCTGGGCTGTATAAGAAAGGTAGCTAAATATGAGCTTGAGGACAGGCTAGTAAGAAGCTTTGCTCCACGGGTTTCTACTTCAAGTATTTGCTTCAGCTCTCCTCAGTGATAAATTGTAGATGCCTGTAAGATAAAATGAACCCTTTTCTCCCCAGTTAGTTTTTTGGTCGTTGTATTTATCGCAGCAGCAAGAAGCAAACTAGAGCAGAAGGTTTACATAAAGAGAGATGGAAACAAGAAGAAATCATGGGTTGTATTTTAATGTCTGGGAAGGTAACATTTGGAGACAGAAGCATCAAACCATACTGAAAAGGACTCTTAGTGGTTCTAAAGGCTACATGCTACATAACAATTGTCTCTAAATTGAAATGTTCCATCCTTGATAGGGGCTCCTTAAGTCTAAGGAAGTCAATGAAACTTCTGTGGTTCAAGAAGTCTGCAACTCACAAATCTCAGAATGTTCCTGTAACTTACAAGACTCAGAAGGCCCTTCCCAAAGATTATACAAACATTTACTATTGCTGAAGTGAAGAGACTTTTAAACAAGAAGAGTTGCCTGTAAGCCACAGGGAGCTCCAGAGATGCAGTTTTCATAAGTCATCATTTATACTGGGATGAGCATCTGGTAATGTGCCAACCTTTGAGTAATTCATATACTGGCAAGTAAACCTCTCATGCACACATCTATAAGTAACCCCCCAAAACTCACTAGCTCATTAAGTTAGCCAAGTATCTATCTATCTATCTATCTATCTATCTATCTATCTATCTATCTAT